CTTTGTGACGCAGGTTGACGAGTTTCATCAATAAGAGAAGGTTACTATATTAGTATTATAAGAGCAATTTTTCTTGAGCCCTTGAATCCCTATACCCGTACGCCTTTATAACTCCATAATAACAAGCGTTATTTGAAATAACCAGAAACGTTCGCCCCGTGTTATTGAAACTAATTGGGTCGAAAAACGAGCTAAAGTTTTCTTAGGATAATAGTACTGCCGATGAAAAATACACCACCACCCCTACTGTTACCACATCTAGCGATATGAGGTCTCAAGAAAATGAGCGCGGTTAATATACTTCCAGGGGCGAGCAGAGAAAACAATGACGCTTGCGGCTGTATTTTTCAAACAAAACTTTTCTTCGTAATTTTTGCATATAAGTTTATTATACTTCAAGTACACTTAAGTATTATTTTTCTTCAAAAAAGTACTAAAAATAACTTTTGTGTACATTTTATAATTATATTTTAAACCGTTTACTCCCAAAAATGTAATATAAATTGTGTGAAAATACAAGTAGAGGTTACCTTGAGTTAAACGTACTGGTAAATATAATTTTTATAACTTTTGAATGATAAATATTGCTCCCACTGGCTTCTTCTAGGCCTCACCAAGTACCACATAGGGTTAATACTATTCTTGTAATTTGACTCTCTCTCTCTCTCTCTCTCTCTCTCTCTCTCTCTCTCTCTCTCTCTCTCTCTCTCCTCTTCCACACACACACACACACACACCACACACACACACACACACATAAATATAATTATATATATATATATATATATATATATATATATATATATATATATAATAAGAGTGATTTCATGTTCTAATAAGACATGTTATCGATACCTATTTCTTAAAAAGGATTGTATGAATAGATACGAAAGATTTACAGGCTCATCTTCAGGATTACACGCAAATGCAGATAATTAATAATTTAAATAAAAGGCTGGTAGATGCGCCACGACCATTATTTTTCGCCTGTCGCTAAGAGACAGGCTTCGAATATATTCCGTCAGAGGCCAGCACAGGCGCGTAGAACCACAGTGTACACATGGAGAAGTGGCTGTGGCGATCGTATGAGAGCTGCGTTTTTGACGAAATATATTACAGCGTACGATATTTTTCGATTTATAAACTAATTTACTAATAACGATTTATAAACTAAGCGTACGATATTTTTCAAATTTAAAAAAAACGGTTAATTTAGCCTTAGTCAAAGATCTGCCATTTTGAAAAACATTCGTTAATTTTTGGGGGTACATTACGTACATGAAGCTCGATGAACATTTTCAAAATATTCTCAAAACGGCTCCAAATTTGTTCTTTAAATTTCTGGTAATAATAGAGTAAAATACTCTTATAAAGGTGGTATATATCATATTTTCACGGTTACCTCTAAATTTTCGAAAATGGAAAGATTTTTAATTTTTTGCGTCGTCTTCCTACAACTACAAAATTGAAGATATATATTTTTCTTTCAAATAAAATGTGTTCTTCATAGTAAGTTCTATCATTAAGGTCAAGTACATTTGTTTGAAAATTTTAGTAATTTTCGTGCAATATTGTGACAATATGTTTAATTTTTTAAAAAATCGAAAATAAAATTTTCTGAAAAACGGCTCAAAATTTTTCTTTACCATTCTGGTAGTGATAGCGCACTCTATAAGATGACATAAACGCCATAGTGCTGTATTCTTTTGTTTTTTCAATAATTACATTTTGTTTTACTTGTCTCTCCTTTGAAATGCTCGTAATGAACTTATGACAACTTCAATAATCTTTATCATTATTTAATGAACGTTAAGGACACCAAATGACGTATGGTATGAATTTCACACTACTGCGTAATTGTTTGTATGTGATGGAGATAATACCGTATATCAAAGTTCTAGGTTCGTCTTATTCGTGAAAACACCCGATGACGCGAGAGCAGTTAAACGAGATCAGACAAGATGTTCGTGTCCTCTCAACTACCCTCTTTCTAATTCTGTGTTTATGTATGCAGATTAGAAATACAAGAATGTAATTATGAAAATAAACTTTCGTACATTATAGGATAGTAGTAAACATCCAAGATGTCGTCTGAATGGAAAAAGGTTATATGAACCAAATATCCTTCGAAGAACAATAAATGTTTGTGTGGACTAAATGAGGAAATCAAGGCCGAGATTGTCAATGAAGTGTACAGCTATTTTGCTAAATGTATATATCCAAGCGCTACATTCTACCAATAATGATTTATTTTTTAAATTTATTTATTCAAAAAATCGTACAAATTGTATGTAACATATGGGGGAGAAGATCATCTGCACACGTTTTCTTGAGTTCCAAAAGCCCTTCCCATAATTTTAACTAAAAATAGTTGAAAGATGAGTAGATATTAAAGATAAATAAATAAAATAAAATTAAGAAAGCGCGAGATTAGCAATATTTGACCAAACTAGACATTTTAGTTCCCGAGTTGTAGAAAACTTATTTGTAACGGTAAACGAATTGCAGATATGATTTTTCTGTATTGCTAACTAAATAGTACCTCGCTCTTACCTATATTCCTACGACTGCAAGCAAAAGGAGAGTTCAACAAAACGTGCGCATAGTGAAGCTACATTTACGCCCAGAAGCAAAACAAGGGACCACCTCAGCATTTGCTTAATGGATCAGGAAAACTGGACAAAACCTGATCGAGATGGGAGTCATTGACCCGGAAGATTTCTCTGGTTTCTATTCTTCAAAGTTTTGTCATTCAAAATTGAAAACCGTTCTTGTATCGTTTCAATTATGAGGGGCAGAAGACACCTGACATCACACATTGCACGATAGTACAAAACTTATTATGTACGAAAAATACCGATAAAATAAATTATACTTGACGTTTCCGTATTTATTTTAAACTAGTGGTGCTAAAGCAGTACGTACTTTCTTGTCCGTACTTTCACGCAAAATTTCGCGAAAAGCACAAATTTTCGAAAGATTGTACTTGACCTTATTTCAAAATATATCTTTGAGGAACAGATTTCATTAAGGGAAAATCTATATCTTTAATATTGTAGTTGTAGGAAGACTCTGAAAAAAGTAAATTTTGAAATTTTCGAAATATCAGAGTTTTTCACAAAGTTGAGACCTGCCCGATTCTCCTAAATGTTATTCACACTAAACATCAACAAAATTTAATTACAAACAATGGTGCCATTTCCTTGAAAATTTGGTACAATACCCCGGGGCTTCATGTAAAGTACCCCCCGAAATTAAAATATTGATTTCAAATTAAAAGGGCCGCCACATCAGCCACATCAATTGGGGAATAACAATTTTGGAGAAAATCGCCTGAACAGTTTAGCCGCTAGCTTTGTTCACAGACAAGCGGACGGACATTCGATTGTCGTCATTTGATTTTTCGGTACCAATTACGCACAATACATGGATTCTGGCTACATCACGTGATAGACGACCCCCTAAATTTAGCAACTGTATTTATCAACTTTGTCGTTACCAGGGCCCTGTAATAAGAGTTTTTTCTGCCGAAAATTCGCCTTTTTTTTTCGGAGCATTTCATAACTCTCTCTACTCCTTAATGATAAAGTAAGAATTTGCTTATTACGCATAAATAATTATTTATACCATAAAACTATAGGTAATCAAAACTTTCTCCATTTAATCAGTGATTGTTTTTATATTTTTGCTATTTCAAGTAAATTTTACTCATATCCTTAGACCCAAATTGGCATTTTTTTAGGAGCGCTAATTTTGATAGTATATCGTCCAATTCAAACCCCATGTTCAGAAAGTGTCCGTAACGTTCGAGTCTCCAGAAAGTTCCCATCGAGAAAGAGTAGTACCTTTAATGTGAAAGTACGATAGTAGAGGTCTGTCCTTAGGCTTGATGCTTCACATAAAACCTTTTTGCTTTGACATCATCAGAGCGCAGTGGCAAACGGGCTGCGAAACTGATTTCTAGCTGCGTGCGAACCTTTGCGGCGTTGATCACGTTTGAGAGATCGATACTTTATTAATGAACAGGAATGCGTTTGCCTATGCTGGTGCTTGGTTGAATTCATGTTCAATTTATTTTTACCCCAGATACATCTTTGCGGAGAAACGGGCTTTTCAGTTACTTTACGTGAAAAAAATTTCCATTAAAAGAAAATCGTTCGTACATTTTTTCAATGAACATTTTTTGAAGCAATATTTGTTAGAGTTCAACTAATTGACATCATATTTTGATTGTTTGTATTTGTTTTATTTAATTTTTAGATAATTACAAATGGGAGGGACTTTGTAAGATGGGATAATTAGAAATAAGGGATTTTGTAAGATGGGACTAACCACAGAGGAAGAGAATTTAGAATACAAATTAATTTTGAAATGAATATATATGATTTTACGATTTTTCTAGTACTGTAACAAATATAATAATTACTTACGTTTATGAAATTTACAAAAACTCAGTCTACGAGTTTTAAAGTGATTACTACATGAAATTTTAATTGCTCATGTTTGGTTCCAGGATTCTGCGAACATCACGAAAAGTTTTCTAAATGAAATTTCAACGCAAAAATTAAGACAGTCACTTTCTTGCCTACGAATAAAAGTATTTGGATCTTAAATGATTATTAGAATGTTCTGAGTGATTTGGAGTGGAATGGAAATACTTAAATTTTTAAGTGGCATTACTAGATCGCAAACGAATATGTCATTCTGAATTTCTTTCTGGAACAGTTTCATTTCAACCTTCGTTCTTGACTGCGCTGTCAACATGACACCACTGGCTTCTTTGTTTTGGACTTTGAAGCATCGTAGGAGTTGACGACTTTCCTCCCTCAAACATAATCTTACTGCTTATTGGTAGACTGCTTAGGCAATCCTACAAAGCCCATACTATTGGTGCAAAACTGCGCATGCTCTTTCGGGGCTTTTGTAGTTGACGTAGAGAGCGCTTACGTCGGCACGGATGATAAGGGCGCGTATATGAAGCACCTGCCGCTGCCATCATCATTGAATCGTGGTGATTTCTGCTGGGTGGAGTTTTCTGTTTGCTGTAACGCTCCTACCTAACTGCCAGAATGCCGGGGACACTGGTAAGATTGTTGTGCCCGTTTAATATCTTCATGCAGGTTTTCTCGCGCGCGTGCCGAAAGGCCTTTCTTCCTCATTGTAATTTTTTCTTCATTCCCTACCACTTACTCACGTCTGTTAAATACAATCTGCATGTCGGGGTTTAAGAATTTTAAAATGTTTTCAATAAGGAGTGAAACTCCGCGTTCTTGGGGGTTCTAGGATAATGAAATGAATTTGCTGAAAACATCTCACCTAAGAGATTATCATCATCCATTTTATCGTTAATTGTGCTCATTCATGTACAATATGGTCATGTATGAATAATGTCCAAATGAACAATATTTGTTATACCTCCAAAAACGTGGTATGTGAATGCAAATCATCCGAAAATATTTGTATGCAAAAGAGAAAATTATCATCACATACTCACAAAGCTAACTTGAAATTATATCTCCACCAATGAAGTTAAATTTTAATTTTGTATAATATATTTAATTCTTGTCTTCTGGAATCACATTCCTGCCTTTAACTAAAAGTAACTTTAGTTTTAAATGCATGCAGAATGTTGAAACAAATGTGATATTTTCTGAGTAGATAAAGCTACCACATCCTTTAAAATTGCAGTAGCATTTGTCTGTGTTTCATGTTACAATTTTACATTTCTATCCTACTTTTCAGTGTGTGATTGATCCCTCAGAGCTTCTCAGGCCTGAAGCTCATTTTGCTGCAAAGCCAGTATCGATGTTCCGAGACTACTCCATAGATCCAGAAGATCCCATAAAGGAACGTGTTCGACACACCTACACTCAAATGCACACCAATCAAACAGTTGACTTTGTCAAAGGTGAGTTCCTTTTTGTGTGATTGAAAACTGTATTAACATTGTCACAGAAATGAAGTCTACAATATTTCAATTCAACTTTATGTAACTGAGAAATTATACTAATGAAATATGTTAAGAATGGTTAAATTTACCTATTTCTGCTTCTCAATCCTCAAACAACAGCTTTAATACTGAGAATATTTTTTTCTGTGCTCAGGTTGCCATGAGCGGTGGCTGAAATTCAGTCATTTTCGCTCCACAATAATGGATGCGCTAATCATGTTAAATGATTTGGTTGATGAAAGTGATCCTGATGTAGACATCCCAAATATAGTTCATGCATTCCAAACAGCAGAGCGCATTAGAGCTGAACACCCTGATTTGGACTGGTTCCATCTCACTGGCCTCATTCACGACCTGGGAAAAGTAGGTTAAACAGTTATTATCAGAGGAAAATTTTGGGAGGGGAAATTCAAAATGTTTTGGTCGAATATGTCATATTACAGTTTTTTGTAAAATGACATAGGTTACACTCTGCTCATGCTGCAATACGATTTTATTCATTTTAATGATTATTCAAAAATATTTTTGCTTGAAAGTTTGGTGACACATTAAAATAAATAGTTACTGAAAAATTTTAGGGGGTGAAATTCCCTCGTATCCCTGCATGTGGATTCACACTTGTTATAATGCTATTTTTTTTATTAATTATATTATTGACAGGCACAGCCAATACTCTGATTGAGAGTGTCATCTGACATCATCAGTTGTGATGTGGTTATATAATCAGGAATTTCAGTATCAAAAATTTAAGTCATAACGAAGCTACTGATTGAAAAACTACATCCAGCTGATGATCTGTCAGAATTCTCTGTTTAAATCAAAGTGTAAAACAAGAGGTGTAGCCAACTTGACTTCTGGATTCCCTATTAAATTTTTTCATGTGTAAATATGATACATTTTAAAAATAAATAAATAAATAAATAAATAAAACACACTATAAAGAGAGTGAAATTATAACTTTAATGACACAATTAATAACTACTATTGATTTTATGTTGCACCATTTACACGGTCGCAAGAGGCTTCAGAGACTCTTTGCCTAATGTCTTACAATTCCCCAAATTGTCAGGTTAAGAAAAAGAGTGGGGGGTAAGGGATTGAAGATATTTATAAAAATATGTTATAGGAAATTAAATATTTAATTAATTTTTTGAACTTTTTTAGGTGATGGCCTTTTATGGAGAGCCTCAATGGGCAGTGGTAGGAGATACTTTTCCTGTGGGTTGTGCATGGGGCAATTCTATTGTATACAGAGACACAAGCTTCATAGACAATCCAGATGGACACAATACCAAATACAAGTAAGTAGAATATTTTCAAAACAGAGTGGAAACAAATTTCTGGTACAATACACTATAAAAATTGAAATGATGTAAGGAAGGACTGTCATGTTGCATAAAATGAAATTTCTTCTTTCAGTACCATGTTTGGCATTTATGAACCTCATTGTGGTCTTGACAATCTTATGATGTCATGGGGTCATGATGAATACTTGTACCAAGTGCTGAAGCACAATAAAACCACAATTCCAGAGGAAGGACTCAATATGATTAGGTGTGATTTACTTTCCATATAATTCTTTTGTCTTCGTAGCCTCAATGGATAGCACTCTAAGATTCATTGTTATTCTTTGCTTTAGGTTTCATTCTTTCTACCCCTGGCATGCAGGGGGAGATTATATGCATCTCTGCAATGAAAAAGATATGGATACTTTGCAATGGGTTTTGAAATTCAAGTAAGAAACTTGTGTACTCTTAGTTAGACAAGTTAACTAATTATGCTGTACATTCAAGCACATTTTTTAGTTCATTTTCTAAGAATTTTGAAAGAATTTCATTTATATGAAGTTTTATTTTGAATATTTTGTAGATATTATTTTATCATTGTTAAAGTTGTTATGAAGATACAGAAATCATAATTTTTAATGGTGTTTTACCAAGAAAACTAAATTTTACTCTAAATAATAATAATAATAATAATAATAATAATAACCCCTATAATAATAACAACAATATTATTGTTTATTATTATTATTATTATTATCATTATTATTATTATTATTATTATTATTATTATTATTATTATTATTATTATTATTATTATTAATACTGTGGTGTTTCTGCTTTCTTGCAGCAAGTATGATTTATACACAAAGAGTGAGGAAGTTCCAGACATTGAGGCATTGAAGCCATACTACCAGTCCCTGATAGACAAGTACATTCCTGGTGTCCTCAGTTGGTAAATATTCCTTTCTTCTTTAGCCTTTGCCTTGTTGCCTTGGCTAACATCCCTCCACATTCAGGCTGAATTCCCTAAATCCCTTCATTTTTTGGTCAAATCCGTTTTGGCTCTGGGACATCCTTTCTTTGTCTTTATTTTTCATCTGTCAACACCTCACATACAACTTGTGGACACTTAGTCACAGTGAAGTGAGTAGTTTTAGGGTCCTTCCAAAAAACTTTTTGATGCTAGAAGAAAATTACTGAAAACTTAGATTTGATCATGTGTTGAAACATGATTCATGCTTCAAACTGCAAAACTTATTACAAATAATAATTTAACAACATTCTAATTCACGGCAGCGACTTATAAAATCTCAGTTTTTCACAATATTTTGTACAAAATTCAATATTGGAATATTCAGTTTTATAAAATATTTAATTTTAACTTAAGTAGTGTATATTAAGTTTATTTATTATGAAGAGTGTAGATTTATGATAGATTAAGTGTAAATGTTTTAAGAATATAACAATTAACAATGTTAGTTGTTGATGTACCTAAACCTGAAGTATTGCAATAGCAATAATTGCTATGAAAGATAACTAACTTATGATCATGAATACAACAGGAATAATAAGAAAAATTATTAATCAATATCAAAATCCAAAAGAAAGAAGAAATTATCTTTATGTACTGTAGCTAATATCTGAACTAAAATTCACATTGTTTGGTGTCACCATCAGCTCTAGTTAATATTTGATTATTATTAATTTTATCAACAAATTTCATAGATATTAAATTTTTTTCAAGCAGTACATACATGTGGAGTAAAAAACTTAAAAAAGTAAGTTAGTGTAGAAAATGAATAGAAAAACCCAAACTTGTACTGTAATTTTATAAATTGAAATGCCATATTGTGTGATTTATTAACTTTTCTTCCTTTCTTTTTTGCTTACTGTGCGATTTTCCCTTTTAACTATTTATCAAATTCCTTATCCCATTTTACACAATTTCATTCTATTCTACATGCATGACAATATTCCTACATGTTATAACATTTATTTAATAACATGTAGAAATGACCATATTCCTGCAGACCTCTCTTGTTATTTCTATTTATGGATAGTAAAACCTAAAATTTATAATGATAAATATAAATATTAATTTACTTTTGAATGTATATGTACCATATTATTATTGCTGTTTTCTTTTCGAAAGATATGTCATATTTATTAATGCATGAGAAAAACTTTCCTCACTGAAAACTCAAATACATTTCTTTTTTAATGGTTAGGAAAACAAATCTCTGAACTCAGTAACATGACTGGTATGTTTGTTTCTTTAGGAATATAGGTAACATGACAGATTATGGCTGATTCATGATCTGATGACATAATAGTTGATGTGATGTCCCTCTTCCTGCTCTTGTATCTCATGAACTTGATGCCCATGAAAAGTTGATGTATGATTGCTGTGGAATGCCTGTTGCTCTGATTTTGTATGCTATTGCAACAGAAAGGTAGGTTGTCATGAAATTGTGTTTCAATATCCTGTTCCTCTCCCTCATAAACATCTATATTTTCAACTACAATGTTTGCTAGAGATAAAATATGAATTATGTTTATTATTTATCAAGATCTCTCATAAAAGAAGTCAGAAGTTTCTATCAAACTACCATTTCATAAATTAATTGAGCTAATTAAGGAAGTAGGCTCATGGCTTGCTCTTGGTCAGCGTTCTCGCTTTCCACTATGCGGCTCTAGGTTCAAGCCCTGGCCAAGCCAATGCTATAGTGTGTGTTTTCCTTGCAATGTCCCAGTATATGTTGCTGTGTGACATTGATAAAATTCCCTTCTCAGACAGAGAAGACTGGAATACAGCATGGGGGTGTCTGCATGCTAACCATACGAACCCCCGTAACCCAAGACTGCGAAGCAGGGTTGTCGCCGGTAGGACAGATCGTTTTCATGGGCCGTCGCACCAAGTACATACATACATACATACAATTAAGGAAGTAAACCAACTCATTTTAGCATGAGAAAGATTGCACTTCAGGGAAAAAAGAATCCACCAAACTGTAATTTATCAACTTACATTCAATAATACCAATTTGAATAAACAGTATCAAATTAGTTATTCTAGATTTTTCAAAAAGAAAATTGCAAAATTTACAAGCAAATTACTCATAAAAATCACACAATTATTAACATTTTTAGCTAATATTATTAGAAAATTGTATGATGAAATTTGAGAAAGAATTTCTTAATCTGGCTTTAAATTAAAATCAGATTGCAAAGCAATAACATTAATCAATTTTTAGAGCATTCATCTGCTTAAAAATTCATCATAAAAGAAAAATAATGCTTATCCACATATGCAGACATAAACAATACCAATTCAATTGTTAGAAGTTTTGATTTGGAAAAATGTAATGAGTAAAGGGGGGAAAGCACATTTTACAAGAGTTTTTCACTAATTTCTGGAAATATTATTTACGTTGAAGTGTAAAATAATCACCAAACAAGAAACACAGTTCATAGAACTGGGCTCTGCACTGAAAAAGGCAGTTTTAAAGGTCTTTTGACTAATTTCTTTTGAGAAGAATAATATTCTGTACCAGTGTATCATATGAGCTGAAGATTGCTGCCAGTTAAACTGAAATTACTTGATGAGATTCTTATGAATGTTCACTTATGATAAAATTAAAATTACAATGAGAAATTACATGCAAATCTTAAATTCAATATTTTGATTTTCATAGAGTTAAAACAATGCAGATGATAAGTGAAGGAGTGCAGTTAGATGAGATTCAGTATTTCATGACAAAGTAATATTTAGTACAGTTAACTAAAAGAAATCTGGTATTACAACATTATATGCCCCCTTCCCCCAACCCCACCTTGACTACAATCATGGTTTTTCTCCTTCAAAAATTGATTTTTTTTATAATACAGTACCTTGTTTCGAATGTGTTTCCAATAGTAGAAGTAGATTCTCTGCTCACATAAGCTTCCGCGGCTCGATTCCATAAATTCTTGGCTATTCAAAAGACGTCGTTGGCTGAGAGGCCGACGTTTTGCCTGACATGTCGCAGGCTTCCTCGAGGCAGTAAACTGCCCTTCATCAGGGCAGTAAACTGCCCTTCCTCACTGCCCTGAGGAAGCCTGCGACATTGCAGGCGAAACTTCGGCCTCTCAGCCAACGACGCGGAGTCTCCTGGATAGCCAAGAATTTAAGTAGATTCTCTAGCTAATAGGAATTTTAAAAACCTACAAACATTTTTGTCACTAATTCAATAATTCTTTCTTCTGTTAATATTAAAATAATAAAGCAATCTTTGAAGACTGAGTTGCATGATAGTTTTGGATTCATACAGTGCCACAAAATGACTTAAAACAAGATCTCCCTGCAACATATATAGCTTGGATTTACTCATTATTTTGTAATCATTAATATAAGTTAAAACTTGATTTTATATAGTTAAAAGTTAACGTGCATGCATGCATTTTCTGATATAAATTCTGTAAGGAAATAGAATATATAGAGATTTTGCAGAAAGTGTATTTTTGATACATCATGAAGGGGTTTAAAAGGATGAATTTGTATTGTAAACTTAAGAACGTGATATTTAACATTTTGCAAACATCTTACATAAGTCAAATGGTTTAAAACATATTTTTAAAAAGAGATAATTATTCCATTGAAGTCACAGACTAGACTGGTGCAACTAGATACAGGGCCCCCAATTAAGATGGCAATTACAGAGAAGGGACCCATTAGGACTTTCTGAACTGGTGCCCCGGGAATTTAGTAACACCTCTGATTGAAGTACAATTAAAATAAATATTACAACTTAATTTAATAGAAGGAAAAAGCATTTTTCCGCTTTTTAATTAAACTCAAATTACTTCTTGTCTGTTGACCCTCAATGAGAAGAGGATCAAGATCCGTAGGGCCACGTCATACCACCTCATCCTTTCCTCTTCCCGATCTCCCGCCACCTTCGGTGTATTCGACGATGTCGATAGCAGCTGCGAATAGCAGTATATACGTATAGCAGCAGCTACGTATTACAGCATTGTATCTTTGACCCAGCTAATACCAGGAACAGCTTAACTGGTTTTAAAGGGTTTTCGACTAGAAGATAGATAATTTTGTAGGGTACTTCTTTCAGATCTTTATTTTATATTACATAAAGAAAGTTTATTCGTTTTCTGTACAAATTTAGTGTTTTATTCCTAGCTTAATGGCATTTTGTATAGGTGACCTTAAAAAAGGATAGAGAGAAAATGCATGTCCACATGAGATTCCGTAAAAATATACCCCAATCTCCCGTTCCTATCCCTTAAACAAAATTGTGCTTAAGAAACATAACCAGATGCGTAGTTACGTTCTCGGAGAGGGCGGTGCAGAGTCACATAGGACCCCTCATCGCCACAGCCATTTTTATTGAAGAGAGGGCTCCCCCTCCTCAGTCGGCGGGTCTCTTCACTTCGGGGCTCTTGACTTAGGAGGGGGGGGTCCAGTGACGCGCACCAATTGCATCAGTTTAGCTATGCATCTGAGCATAACATCTGTCCCCCGTACATTGCCCCACATATTATTAACTTCATTAATTGTCATTAACTTAATTTTGTGTTGGAATATGTGAACTATTGTACCTTGTTATTTTTTCAATAAAGAAAGAAGACTTGAATTTCTACCATTTTATTTATTAAGTAAATAACGAGAGTCGGTAGCTTTGACGAAAGTTTTGAAAAATTTTTTGAATTACTACCAGGGAGTTTAACGTGCTCCGACCGGCAGCTGCCGGCGAAAACAATGGAGATCAGATCAAAATTTTAAATGAATAAACATTTAAAAGGGAAATTTTCTGAAGATCCTTGTCTAGAAAAGCCACACAATTCCACAAACAAAAACAAAAATCATTATAGAACAGTTATACGTACATATTGGTGTATTTATGTACGCAGAAAATAAATGTTATTAACTTGATTCTAGCACCAAACGAACAATATTTTATCTTTGCAATAAAAAACAATTTAAAGGAATTTTATTGACAAAATGTTCTTATACAACACACACACACACACACACACACACACACACACACACACACACACTCAGAATTGAAGAGCGTGCGAGAAGTAGAAGCCAATAAAGGCGTAGAGGAGGGCTAGAATAGCCCCGCCACCCCACCTAACAAAGTAATGCCTGACGGCGGTTCCGTGGGTGGGGCGAGGGACGTAGGGTTTTAGTGGGTATTATCTATGGATGAGTCCCACACGAATCGGCCTGGACATGAGAGTCTGGGTCGAGGGTGCCTAAAGGTGTTAAACAGGGAGACTCAGTATCTCCAAAACTTGTTCCTTTGCAATCTCGAAGACATCTTTAAGAAACTGAAGTGCCAAAATCAAGGTATAAATATAAACGTTAAAAAATTATCAAAGAATCATGAGAAATAATGAATGTCATACTGAATAATTGTAAGCTTTGTGTATGAATTCAGAGAACATTCAGACATTCTCTCTTCCAACTACCTAAAGGTGTTAAACAGAGAGACTCAGTTTCCCCAAACCTTGTTCATTTGCATTTTCGAAGACATGTTTAAGAAACTGAATCGGCAAAATCAAGGAATAAATATAAACGTTAAAAAATTATCAAATGTCTCGCGGCCGCAGACTGCTGGCGCCCGCGTAAGCACAATGTCGTAGCTCCGCCGCAAAAAGACCGTCTCTGCAGTAAAGGCCTATACAGCAGCTTGACCTCCGCTTAGCGGGGACGAATGCTACTCGTGAGCTCGTCGCCCGGGTGCACGGACCTTCTACTCGCCCGTCGATTTAGATCGGCCCAAACTGGGCCTACCGAACTCCACCCCTCCGTCGATTCAGATTGGTCTAAACTGGCCCTGCCGACCTCTCTTCACCCCTCCGTCGGTTCAGATCGGCACTAACTGGCCCTGCAAACACCACCCCGCTAGTCCAGACCGACCCTGCTAGCAGAACTCCGTGCACTGCGAGTGTAACCAGCACTTCCGATGGCCGCTGCAAGGTCACTCTTCCGGAAAACAGCCCTCGGCGAGGCTGGGCTACGTCAGGCTGTTTGCCATGGCCAGGGTCATCCCTGTTCTTATTGCTCCCTCTCATCCGTCTTAAGCCTTCAGGGGGCGAGGAAATGACCCGGAGGGCACCTGCCCTTACCGTTCTTCCATTTCCCCGCACGTGGCGCCAGACCTTTCCCTAAATTTAAAATTTGCAGATGACATAGTACTGTTCTCACAGACAGCAGCAGAACTTGGAACAATGTTGAAGGAGCTACAAGTTAAATATGAGGAAATAAGATTACACACGAACCTAAACAAAACAAAATGTATGACAAATAGTAATGAAATCCAAATCAAACTAGGGCCAAATATCATGTTCAGAAGTTTGTATATCTGGGACAAAGAGTTTCATTCCAAAACAGTAAAAACAAAGAAGTTGATAGAAGAATATCACAAGGCTGGGAAAGTTTTGGAGTCTGAAATTTATATTAATGGAACAAAAATGGACAAAACAAAAACGATAAAAATTAAAAAATGTATCCTCGACAGTTGTGTTCCCCCTGTTCTAATTTATGGCGCTCAGACATGGTCATTAACCGAGCAACGAAAGGAAGCATCACAAAAAACTCAAAGAAAAATGGAAAGGAAAATACTAAGAATTTCGCTAAGATAGCACGTGAGAAACACGGCAATCAGAAGAAAAACGGAAATAAAAGATGCAGTACACTGCGCCCAAATACTGAAGAGGAGATTGGCGGGGCATTTGGCAGACCTAGAACAAGAGGGGCAGCCGACATAAAGACAGTAGG